GCTGATCAAGAATATATATACTTTATGGGGTCTGCGATGATTCCTTCTGCCTGTTACATACTTTTACACAAAAACATTATACCCTGATTTCCCATTTTCAATGGGTTCAGGGTATAAAAAGGGTTCATTAAAAAAATCTTTGGGTAATTAAATGCATTTATGATTCAATAAAAAATTAAAGGTATTAATTGATTAATAAGTAAGTAAGTAACGATATAAATTAATATAAAGTATTCCATACGTGACTAGAATAAAGAACTTCTCTTTTTGGGCCGTGAGCGAATATTATGCACTTAGATTTGCGGAATTGCATAATAAAGTAACAGTGCTAAATTAATACTTACCTTGTTTCAAAGTTATATGTTGGTCTCTTTATGAAGAGAAATTTGGGTAAAAAGTTAATGAACAGACGTTTGACCCACGGTGCCATCCTGTGGGTTTGCGGAGACCGAAAATGAACGTTCAGCACGACAACTGTCACACAAATACTATAGAAAATATACAAACATTAGTATTATACACCATCTATTATGAACTTAACCTTTTACCTTATAGAAACCAATATCATGGCAAATATCAGATATTTGCCCAACAAAGGTACAACCAACGATGTTGGCGGAATGATTTCCACGACCAGAAGAAAGAACACGTGGAGACTAATGAGAATCGAGATGGACAGAGTAACCTGAAATTTTATTTAAATACATAACATTAAAACTATGTAATAATGCTGGTCCTTATGTTATAATAGTGTTCATGTTAATAATTAAAAAATATATTATTAATATTTTTGTATCATCAATATATACAAATAAATCATTTAATATAAATAAATAATTTTTTAGTAAAAGTTTTTGAGAGTAGTGAGCAAATGGTCGCTATATACCTTTTCTCCACTATCAGAAGGTAAGTAGAAAGTCAGTACCGTTAGAAAAGAAATACCCATGCATGGTATTATAATATTAACCGTGTAAAAAAGAGTCTTTCTTCGCATGGTAATGTTAAACGTTATATCCAAATACGGCTCATCGCAACATGTATAAAACTTTTCATTCCTAATAAGAATAGAAACATAATATATATATTGGAATGTGTTAAATTTATACTGTATTAAAATTGTTTGTCGATTAATTTCATGAATTATATTTGAAAATGCATATTAATACATATATTATTTTTCTAAATAATTTAATTTTATAATATTTGTTAACAGATAAGAAGCAGATATAGCTTCACATTCGACACCATTTATCATCATATAAGTACGATGAGAAGTGTGTTTGAGGAATATGCAAAACAAGAGAAATTAAAATTCAGATGTCAGTCATCATCATGATTCTCAGAATTCTTGAATAATGCAAATACAGTAATACATTAAGACAACGTCTGGTATTTCATAAGGGTGCATATGAAAACTTACCGAACTGCCGGAACTTCTAAAATGTCCCATTCGACAGACATGTAAAACTCCGATAGATCTACGCCCACGTCAACAATGTTGCTGCCCTGCTGCTCGTCCATGTGTCTCAGGTCCACCTAGAGAACAAAGTGAAATAGTTGTTTTAATGGCCGCATACGAAAGTGTAAAACAGATATACAGTTATATGTGACATATTTGAAATGCAAAGTAGCGGTGCACAGCCCATCGATAGCGAATAGCACCCACGGAATTAGAATTGTGTTAGTTGTACACACATATAAGTATAATATGAACAATTTTTAGTAGATTTCAACAATATCGAGGACTTGTGTACCACTCTTTTTGGATGTATAAATGTATGTATATGAGTTATAGGGATATTGAACAGAAACTGACGACCAATAAGGAATATTCTTGTATTAAATTCGACTATAATTCAAATTAGCTACTAAACGAATATCATGCGATTCATTTTAACTAAAATGACTAAATCAAACTTAACGGCTTTACTTAACAGAAAACTCTTCAGTATCCTTCTAATTCAGTAAGACGAACACAAGGAAGTCGGGGATGCAACTTGAATCAATATTACACATCTCAATATACACACACATGCACTTTGTTATTCCTATTTATGTTATTTATTTTACACTGTATAAATGATAAATATTTTTCTGATTAGGACTTACAAAACTCTCATGAATCGTATATTCGTTATATCTGTCACACGTAAGATTTTTTACAAATGATTCGAAAAACTCAAAAAATGGAAACAGTCTCAGCATGCGATTTTGAAGGGCATGCATTCATATGATATATATTCATATGATATGGTATAAGATTTTAAAGTCCTGCAATGTGTAGTTCCGCTCTTTTCAACATTTTTTATTTTTCATGTTTACATCTTTGAATAATCTTAAAATTTCTAGGTATATCTTAATTTTAAATATTTTTTGCTGTTTAACAAATTAAATTATTGACTTAAATAAGTACTAGTTTTACTTAAAAAGATTCTTCAGACATATCACAGACATTTCAATGTCTGCAATGCATGGAAACTCATCGCAAATCCTAAGTGCACCTGAAAAAAATATTATTTAAATGTTAAAGCGGCAATTCCACCTCCTCTAAAATCGGCTTAAGATGTGAAAATCCGTAAGAAATCGGTGACAATAATAAAGTCGGATGCAACCGACCAAATAATACCCAGTTCACAGTCAGCAATAGATTTCATCATAAATATATTGTTTTTTATTTTCATTGTTTGCTTCAAGACCGGATTAAATGTATGATTTACATGAAGTGAACAGAGTAAAATTATTGTAAAAAGTACAAGTATAATAGATTACCTGGAGTCTATGTCTAGTAATTCGCTCATGAGGTAAGCGCGATCGAAGTTTTCGAAACATGAGCTTGCACAGCAAGGCTTAAACATCTGTGTCCGCATGGAGCACTTATATTAGAGCAAAGTATGTATTTCTTAAAGAAATTACACGTAATTTTAAAATAAAGGTGATACATAGTCATTGAAAATAAATAGACAGAAAGCAATGGCTAGAAATTATGTTGTATATTAAAAAAGTGATTTAAATAAATATGAATAATCAATCCACGCAATAAACTTGCAATCAACTATCTTGTATTTGAGAGAATTGTAAGCAAAACATAATTATATCTTCCTTACTGTAAAAATGGGGTTTCCGCGAATATTAAGGAAATTCGGTTCTAATCAGTTCGACAAAGATTTTATTACTTTTGTTCAGTTAAACAAGATTAGAGACAATACAATTAGGTCGAATTGACTCAAGATTCAAAATAATGTTCATTAGGAATATTTTATCCAATCAGTTCAGAATATCTTTCTAAAAAGAAAAATATTATTTGCCCATAAGAAATATTTCCAAAAGAAATATTTCAAGATGAAGAGCAGAGCTCATCTATGCTCCAAATGCAAGATCCCTAACTAAATATTATGATTTATCGAAGCAAAAATATTTTCAAGAAATAAAGATTTTTATATTTCTCTCTAATCCTCTGTTTATTACTTCCATATTTTCTGTTCTTGATGATACAAGTCTCGTCAGATGTCCATTTTCCATACACATTATCTGATTTAGGTACAAGAATTTTCGCCAATTGAAAAGATTTCAAACATTTTCCATATGATGGCAGCCTCATCAACTTGAGATCTCAAAAGTACCAATTTCAATCTCAACAATTAAAAAAAAAAAAAAAATAATAATAATAATAATAATAATAATTAAAATAAAATGAATTGTTCATTACATTAAATACAATAATAAATGGAAAGTAAAAATACATTTAAGTGTATTTGCCGCACACCTTATCAGTTCTATTTTCATTTAACACTTAATATTATAAATTATAAAATAACACTTGCAAAATTATTCCATCAGTAATTTTATCAAACAAAGAAACTAAAAAGAAAACAATTTAAAGCAAATGGAACAAACCATAATATTGTTGACTAAGACTTTTCTGTAGCCATCATAATATTTTAGATTTCTTCAATAACTTGACTATCAGTTATTATTATTATTATTACAATGAAGTTATTATTATTATTATTTTTATTTTTTGGAATGAAATAAAAAGATTACTTTTATAGACAAATACTTATAGCATTTCACAAAAGTAATCTTAATGAGACGGTAGCCAGGGGTAGCTGCAATGAGTGAAGCGAACTAATGAAATTAAGCATACGGATGAAGAGATTAAGAAATCGATAACAACAGCTGAGCTGAGTGAACTGCACTGGAAGAGATCAAGACACCGATAACTAAATCTGAGCTGCGACTATGCAATGGCACTTAAAGCTAAATGTAGAACTCCTCAGATATAAAACAAGAAATGGGGTTGAAAAATTTGAATTTTTTTCATTTGATAGATGTTTAGATAATTCCAAAAGTGACCGAAACATGTCTAAAATTTAACAGTGAATTGAAATCACCATATATTATTGGGTGACAAATATGTATAAATAAAGAGATATTTTCTAAGCTTTATTGTTGCGTTTTGACATTGAGCGACTATCATTCGAATCTCAGCGCTTGGAACCGATTTGAATGGACGAAAAAATGCCTGAATATTAACGTTATTTACGATCTCCAATAAAAATCAGTTTTTGCAAAAATTAGACATTTTCGATAATTGCAAATAGTTGTACGAATATGAAGAAACCTTTAGAGTTTTGGCTAATGTTAGAAATTGTTTGTTCTTATCGATTTTCTTTTATTATTGTAATATTTATAAATGGGTTCATCTAACAATTAGATTCTAAAGTTTTTATTCAACCTAAATCAAACTTTTCAAAAATGTTATATCAAAACATTGTAGTCGAGAAACCAAAAGACTTTAATTTTCTGATGAGAAAGAATAAAAATAAATAATAAATAAAGCATTACGGCATTTGCTTGAATACTCAATGATTCTCTTGAATATTCAATGAAATATTATTATTTAAAGAGATGTAATGCAAACAATTTGGTGCAGCAACGTAAATCAAATTAAAATAATCGGAGACTTATTTAAATGCAATTCATTCAAGTCACAAGCGTTTCAGCATGGCACATAAAAAGTAGTTACTCCTTGTAATGTTGCACGTATTTTTAGCATCACTTAAGATACAATTAACAATTCCTTATGTTCATTTGACACGTTAAATTATAAACTCATCGCATTTAGCTATGTATATAGTAAATGATTGTTTCTATTAATACATTCCATTTAACGATATTACATTCATATATTTATTAGTCTACACATATCAGCAAGCACATTCGATATCTATTGTATTCTCATTAAACTGAGTAATTTATAAATTACCCAAAATAATAAAGAACTTAAAATTTAATATGTCAGGCAAGAACTAATTCATACCGTCAATATCAGTCCCAGCATGCACAGGCTCAAGCAAACGAATTATATTTCAAATAACATTAACTATATGGTATTTCTCGCATACATATTCTATATTATTTCACGTTTTCTTCAAATAAAGATAAAAAAAATCCACCCCCGAAACTATCAACTAACAATGTCATTTGACAATATAATTAACTATCAGTCAAACAGTTTTGAATGTTTCTAAATTAATTTTCCAAATACAAATGTAACGAGTAATAGCGATGAGGAAACCTTTTTTACATATTGCCATTGGAATAATCTAATCACTCATTAAAAAGCTAGAGCTGAGAGACATTACAAATTAATAGCTTTTTGTTCATGGTGAATATTGCTAATTGAAGACCTATAAATGTCTTAGTCACAGCGACTTTTATCCGCTATCCAAGTCTCCACTACAATAGATATTAATTAATAGGATAGACCCTATTAAGTAGCAAGTTTGTGAGATGGTATAGTTTATTATTCAGAGAAATAGTTCAGTCCGCCTTCTAGTGGGATAGATAAATATGCAAATTACAAAAATAAATATTGTATATAAAACACGTAAAAGTATAAGCAAAGCTTTCATTAAGCGAGAACAACATGCCTTTGCAAGCACAACGATATGGAAGTTTCTTAGTTCATTAAGAATAACAAGCATAATTACAGTTTGGTATTTACAATTACTTATTTTACAATATCATGCAGAATAAAATTTGTTTATGAACAGGCAATTCCAAAATGAGCTCCCAATCGCATGCCTTACATACATATATCATTCAGGTAATCAAGGTTCATAACGATTACGGAATCATACCCTGAAAAACTTAATATCAGCAGACAGCCAGATTTTTTAATTTTTAAGGGAATCCAACTCTTATTTTCAATTGAAGAGAAAGTTAAACAAAACAAAGAACCAAACAACTAGGATGGGTAGTTAGGATTCAGTCAACAAGTCTCCGAGAACAGAAAAAAACTGATTGTTTTCAAATTTCGTATAAATAGATTATTACTATAGCAGTACAGTAGACATTTCTCAATACACTTAGGCTTTACAAGCACATGCTTCAGCAAATAGAGTTATGTATATTTGTATATATATATATATAGGCAAGTTTACTAGAACACACAGAGCATGCTCAATATCATTGAATATTCAATTTTAACTAGTTATTAAAATACTTTCCGCACAATCATTAATTGATGCTTACTTTTGGCGCATATACTAAAACATCAATTTGCTACGTCCGAAATGTAAAACTTCAAAGTTATATGCGTTTGATTTTTGAAATGCATTGTCCAATTTATATAAGAACGGAAAACCATACGTACTTTACTTTCATTCCAATTCAATAACTATTACATATTTAAGTATATGCCTTTAAGCTTAGTTGTGATTACATATTGACGTACAATATAAGTGATGTAACATAACAGAAAATGTATCAAATGATTCTGATTTAATAAGATTTGATTAGCACCTTAAAACCATCATAGGTCCAACTTCCTAATTTTAAGATGCACGTCTGCACGTCATATGGAAAATATTCAACATCGATTGAACAAGACGATTTATAGACGGCAGGTGGTTGCCAAATCACCAATCCATTACTATAGACTATTGCTTTTGTCATAAGTGTCACTTCATAATGACCATCAGCACTGAAAGATATATATTTTTAACACAGCTCCTGTTACCAATGAATCGTTTTGCAAGTTAGACTGGCTGTTAATAGGGGGGTAGATAGTATGTCTGTACGATTTTTTGTGTAATTAGAGTACATATAGCACATACATATAATAGTATACTTAGCAGGTAACCACGAGACAGTCGGATACCGACTGTGCAATACTCTGTTCACAGAGCAAATACACAATGCCATCGATGATTGATAAAATAGACTAGCACTACACAGGCCAACTAAATTTGAAGCTGACAAATGATTGATTGTAATGATATATGTAATATCTGAAACTACAATGAGTAAGGGTTAGTGTTATATAGTATTTAAAACCCCAATAGAGATTCGAATAAAATCTATTAAAGTACAGATTGCTAAAGATCTCTTGAATTGTAGTCTGATTCTAGCTTACTATATGCTATTGACCTGTGCTTTTATCTTTGGTATAGTCAACTTGTAGTTTACATCTTATAGGAAAGTTAAACGGAAACTTTAGGGGAAAGAGAGTCAACTTGTACTCATTGTGCCCGAAAAAAGAATCCTATTGTCACAGAAATGACCACCTATAAAAAATCGAAATATAAGTATATACTCAAATGCAGTAAGCTATAAAACTTGTGAACAAAGTATTTATTACATATTGCTGTACATCACACACATTCAGTTTTCTTTACGAGTCCAATTCAAGATTAGATAAGTTTACTTGGACAGTGTGAATTATTTTTTTTAAATACTATTACTAATTAAACAGCTTCATTTAGATCAATAAATCCAATCTTCAATACATATATAACTAAAAAATTTTAGTATAAGCACTATTTGTTCCCCTCAAATTCAGTTGAATTAGACTATGTACAAATATTGCTCAGGTAAGTACTTATATTTAGATTAACATACATATATTCGGAAGGGCTAGATCATTCAGAACAGTGGGATGTAAGAGATTTTCAATAAATACTTATTTACATAAATAACAATTTTCATATATCAGTCTTAGACAATAACAATCTCAATATGAGCTTTCCCGGATCTGTAAATGATTGCAGAAATCCAAAAAAGAGTGTAATACAAATCAAGGACAAATAATGTAAGTGTTGCACTTATTTGCACCTTAGAAGAACGTAATGTTTAGAGAGTTAGAGAGTTAGGGTTTGTTCATTTATTTATGGTTTTTATATTATTGAAACGTAACAGAACTGATACAAACTTCAAATATGCATAAAAATGAAAAATATATCAAGTCTACGGTAAAAAATTACAAATTTAATTATATGAGCATAAATGCGTAATAAAATACAGACGTTAAAATTATATACAAAATTATGCATTGCAACTATAAAATATATTTGTTAAATAACCAAATGATCGATGTGAATGTGGCTTTACTCTTGCAGTAAATTTTATGCTAAGCTACAATGTGATTAATATGGGATATATTTAAGTAGTTACTAAAATGAGCAAAACTGATTTGATTCTCCTCTTTTTGCCTTATGAATTTATTATCTGATTCCTATCTTCTTTCTCTAGCCTACAAGTCATCGATAGTGATGAGATTAAAAGCAAGGTAAACTAAACATAAATGAGAGGGGTCGCGTTCACAGACAGACAATAAATATTACAGTCTGGTAGCTGAAGGACTCTGAGTCAGATCGTTCATTAAGAATACATCAATAAAAATGCTGCAAGAGTATCCGATCTTCAGCGGCCTGAAGACTGCTACACTGATTTCATACATTTAATTAAAAAAGCAGCAATTAAAAGAGAATTCTTTGGACACAAAATGAGAAAATTGAAATTAAAAATACAGTCTTAACATTTAGTATTAAAAATTTGTACAATACTGAGTTTTGTACGCACAAAATATGATTATTTATGTTTAGTTGCTAATCAGTTTAGGTATTGTATATAAGTGTAGATGTTAATTAGTATACACCCTTGAATAACACAGCTAATTGATCTTGAGAAGTAAAACAAATGAAAAAACATGAATTAAACAAATTCAGTTTGTCTATAATCCAAGTTTTAAGTTACTATTGAGGTTACAATAATATAAATATGATTATATCTAAAAATAAGAACTCATATACCATAAAAATCGGAAATGGCTTTATTCAATCACTGCCAAAGAATTTTTACGTAATCGGAAAACAGATCAAATCAAAACAGAGAAAGGTATACCGTGTTATTTAAGGGTTTCTTGTGCTTATTTATTCAGATGCGATAAATGCTAATTTGGTTGGCAACGACTTATATGTGAAACTCAAATCATAATTATTTGGTAAACGTGAATTTTCGTGATTGGAAAATTAAAAGGAAGAGCTGTTTTATGGATCGTGCGTGCGTTTAGACAAACCTACCTTGAACCCATCATAAGTCCAACTGCCAAACTTTAGAACACAAGTCTGTTCATCGAATGGGAAATACTCTACGTCTATCTCACAGGATGACTTGTATATTGCTGGTGGTTTCCATTCAACTAATCCTTCAGAGTAAATTGTAGCTTTTGTTGCAAGAGTCACTTCGAAGTTACCATCGGCACTACACAATATCATTATTTGTTTTGTTTGTTCAATATTCATTCGTAAATAATAATAAAATACAGTTTTTTAAATATTTATTCATATGAAATTGTTTCATAATTGAGCTGGGCGATCAACTTTAATATTCACGAGTGCGTTTCAATTTTAGTGTGATTGTTAGTCTGTATTCCATATTATACTTAATTATTAGTCATTTGATTTGGTATTTGATATGCTTAAAAAGTGTAAAGTATTGTTATATATTATGTCTTAGATTACTCTATAGTTTCCCTTGGTAAACTAAATTGTATTTCCACTTGAAATTGTCTGATAAGATACTTTGATCAGTATATGCAGTTCCATTAAGGTTTGTACATGAATTTATAATCAGCGTTAAAAACCAAATCGACAAAACACTACCTGAATGGGTATTGTTGTCTTCCTTAATAAACAAGTGACAATTCATATACTGAAACTAAAGGAGCTCGAGGTTTTTTTACAAGCTGCCAAGTAATTTTTTACAAATTCTCTTCAGACTTATATATGTATATTTGAGTTTCTTTCATAAACCAAAACCACCATATCATAGCTCATTGTTCAAAATCTCTCCTACCTATCTTGCGCCAGTAAGCAACATTTTCCACCTTTGGGCAGTTGAAGAATTAGTAAAAGCTGTAGAATTAAATAATACTTCCTCCAATCGATTACGCTCAAAACAATAGATAGTTTAAGTACTAGGCAAGAGCTTTATTGAGTTCATATTTTACAGAACATAGGCTGTATAAAAAGAGCAAAAACTATTATTGACAAAGATCTAGCTAACATTGACTTCCTTTTTTAATAAAAATGCTAACAGAATTATCACCCTGATCAATAGCCTAACAATCTATAGATTAAGGAATATAATACCGTCTATATTATAAAAGCATATAACAGATGACTTAGGAAAAAATTGTATAAATTCATAATATGTGTGAAGATTATTTCTGTTCATGAAATCTCTATCTGAAAATGTAGGAGACTCAGGGTATAAAACTAATCTCGGTATTCGTACAATGAAATATATTTTAATTAAAACTTATTATTAATAAATAACTATACTTAGCACCTAAAGTGTAAAACTAAGCCAAAGTATCTGTTCTTCTCTTAACACAAGTTGCTCAAATAATTGAAGGATTGTAACATCTATTAATTGATCATTTTTTTCCTATTATATTTATGAATGATTTGCAATTTAATAAATGTAAGGCACACAAAAGTTCTGTTACGATGAGACGCAGTGCAGTTTGCTATTTTCAATATCTAACAGCATCGTCAATGCTGAGATAAAACTTCGAATGACTATCATAATAAGTTTATCTTACGTCTGTAAGAGTATTTGAGCATCTATACACGAAAGAATTATTGACTTATGTCTCTTTTAACACATTAAATTAAATAGTAGTGCGTGATGCTGCGACTTATGTCGATAGTAATTGAAACTTTTTTACAGCGTATGGACATACTAAAGCTAATATATGTGTTCTTTTACTATCCCTAGACATAAAAATATATATATTATTTATATTCAATGAATATATATATATATAAATAACAGCCACTGAATTATTAAGCCGTTTTCAGGTTGCTATCTTGTTACTTACTTATTATAAAGTACAATGTCTGGTCTCCAAATGTGATCGGATGGAACGTGTAGCATATGCACTCCCCCATATTCTTTGGGCTCCCACCTTAATTTGTAGTCGTACCATGACTGAAATAAATATAATATATGTTTAGCTATATGTAAGAAAAACACGCATTGTATATAAATACGATATGAATATACTTTATACACATAATGAATATTTTACTTTCACTGGAGAGCCCCTTACACCTCATTTAAGTCCTACATTCTATTGTACTCTAAGCGATCTAAGCGACATGACTATCATAAGACGAATGAAATGAAACGATATCAGCGGTCACTTTTATAAAATCTCTCAACTAAGCTCACATTCAATTACGCTCCCAAATATACATATATTCCTGCATAACCATAGTTTTATATTCTTACCTGTTCCACCCAAAGATTCGTAGTCATGATCTGATTTTTAAGATTCTAAAAAAGGAGAAAATTTGTTTAATAAAGAAATTAATGAATGAATATTGTAGCACACAGATAATATAAAATAATAATAATAATAATAGGTCCATCGAATAATTATTATTAGTAATTTCGCATAAACACGATCGAATTCTCGTGGGGTACGATACTATGATGGGATCAGCTTATTACCGATCTACTTCTCTTGCAAAATTCAAAAATTCATATTGATAAAGTGTGGGATGTATAAATACAATACTTACAACATCTATCAGCTGCGAAAGCTTAAGTTTTATACAAACTTTGAGGACATCTGTAGTATTAACAACTGGGCGTACCAGTTTGTTGTAGTTACTCAAGAGATCATCGTAAAGGCGCTTAGCATCCGGGTTGCCTGCAACAGCGCCGTGTACCATCAAAGCTGATAGTATCCAAGCCTTGATGCTTTCTTGAGATGTTAACTTCATTGCTATTATTTCGATTCGCCACAATGTATACTTCAAATTTATATTTTTAATATTTATAATTACATTTAATTAAATATAATATTTGCTATTGCTTTATTTGGTAACATTTTTATTTATTTTTATATAGCCTAATAAGGAAAAATACGTGAAACATTTAGATTAGAAAATTTTCTACTTTAAATATAACAATCTATCTATATATAAAATCAAACTAGATTATACAAGCATTACAATATCAAAATAAAAAATATTCATTATCAAAATAATGCAAGAATATATAATTTTAAAAATTACTTCCTTATATGCATTGAAAGAATTAAAAATTTATGTATAATTTATTTCTAACTATATAAGTACACATTAAATATTCTTCTTAATATACACATATTCTTAATCAGAAGTAAGGTGTCCTTGAAGGTGTCGATCTCGGAATCTATGAAAACTTGATATTTGGAATTACATACATATGCAAAGCTCCAATATACATACATATGTATGTCATATGATCGATAACACTACCTCAAAGGAATCGAAATAAATTTGTTTAGATTTCAAATGCTTAACTTTTATATAATGTAGCTTCTTCATTTACCCCCAAAGGGCTTTTATATGCAAGTGAATGAAGCCACATGCTATTTTGTTTGTGTATGTATTTGTATTTTAATATAATAGCTTGGTTTTTTGTAAACGAACAGGCTATGCCCATATTTAGTACCTATCTATTATCCAAACTTTCACTAATTTTTTTATAGTTCATATATACAGGATATATCAAAAGTACCGGAACATAATCTTAATAATAATACGAGCACATGCATGTACGTGAGTGCATGTACATACATATATGCATTCTGATTAGTGAATTCGGTTTAGACGTTTCAATAGGGCGTGTATAAAGCACTTTGAATCACATTTATCATATATGTATGTCAGGTGGAAATTTAATCAATAAGTACATATTATTTTTGCATTCTTATTTATGTCCTAAATTATATTCAATTACATTTTTACTTACTTACTTATATATTTATTACAACATATATATAATATCTATTATTTTAAATCTGTTTTATATTTTATATATCAATATATATGTATGTATATAAATGTACATATGTGTAAAATTCCACTCACACTTTTCGTAGATGTATCTTGGAGTATTTTCATAAAAGAAATGCGTGTGTATTTAAATCCTTTGGCTTTCTTTAAAATCCATTAATATTTTTTCAAAATTTTTATATAATAAGTGTAAAAAAAAACATTAAATATTATTGTAAACACAATTGACCCGTAATAAGTAGATAGATAACCAAGCTGAATGAATAATCTCAGAGAACTGTCTGACAGATGAAGTTAATAAAAAATCTTGATTCTCTCTCTCTTGGTCCATTGAGCGCAAGGAAATCCACCCTCAAAACAGCTGTTTACAATCCATAGAGAGCCAACAAAAACAACTATTTTATTTTTAGTAAAATATATATTTAATTTAATTTTTTTGCATATATAATTTTAATAAAAAAAATATATATGATTTATTATTTTACAAATTGCCCATAACTATTTAATTTTTAGGTTTCTGATTTTTTCAAAAATGTTTTAAATAAATTCACTTATAAAATTAGATACACAGAAACGCTAGAGCATAATGGTGCTAAATACTAACCTAATTATGTAACATTTATTCAAGATTGCTTGTTTGTTTTAAGGTATAAATTGTTGACTTACTAGAGTACAATTCATATTACATATTCTTTATGCGCAGGTGCAATACGAATAGATGCAATTCCAAGCATATAATTTTAAAAATATGTATTTTACGTAAATAATTAATATTGGTATGCATACATATTGGATTTGATTACTGTTACCACGCTTAAGTATTTATATAAATATAATTTTTTACTCTCAAAGGTTATGTTCTAGTTGACCTCCATTTAATCTTCTCAATAATTAATCATACTTGTTCACGAAGCTCAAAGAGTATATGAGTTACACACATATCCCAGCCTGATCCTTGGATAAGCTACTGAGAGCAAATTTAATGTATTTATTTCTTTTGAGTAAGAATAAAAAAGATTGCACTGATTATTTGCCCCGACACTTCAACTTACTGCTATATAAAACACCAATCTATATATATTTTTTTTAAATTAATTGCTTCTTTTATTTTGGGGATTTTAATAAATTTGTTGCTGGATTTAAATATATTCATCATTTCGATGTATCAGAAATACAATTATAAAAAGTAAGAAAGCTCTAGTTGAGCCTGCACAACTAGAAGATCTCCTGAACCCTGTAAAGAGCTGATTTTCCAATGATTCTATGCTTCACCTATTTATATACACATACAAAAACATATGCACGTATATATACATATATACATGCATTATTGCATTCATTCTAAAATTTTCATTAATTTTATTTCTCAGGTGGACCTAATTAAAATCGAGATCTAATGGTATTCAAATTTGGCTATAAACGAAATCAAATTATCGATTATGGTCGATAAATAGAAATAAGATGAATTATCCTAATGTTCTCTACGTTCACACCTCCGGATTTCGTATCAATGGATTCAGGGAATATCAATTGCCAACCTAAACAAATTTTCAATTAAAAAATATAGTCCCCGTACCAATAAAACTAAAAAATAATACGATACCGTTAGTAATTAACATCTTATCGCTTGATATTGCATATCACTTCTACCAATAACACTAATTCATTTGAGAAATGCTAAGTATAAGATTGCATTTAGCAAATATTGTCCAAAAGTTGTATCTAATAAGTCCTGAATAGTCCTCACGGAAATTTTGAACACGTACTTTAAAAACCCTAAAAAAATAAATGTATATCAATATAAAAAAAATGCACTCATTGTCACCTTAGCAATTGCTTGCTTCCCTACTTCTTTGTTTTATGAACAGAGTGGTATTTTTTGATTAATTATGAAGTTATCGAATCGAACTGATATTATAAACGACTCATTTAAAGTTTCCTATAATAAAATTAACTCCTAAATAAATATTTTATTTTTATAATTAATTGATCTTTCTAATAATTTGTGCCTTGTATGTGTAATTAAATGAAAAAGAATGTATACATATAAAGCCAAAGCATTTTTTCACTCTAATTTTTAATTTTATGATAATATTATCGACTTTACGTGCAAACATAAAAAAATGAATGTGATGCTTCTATCACGGACATCAGTGCCGAACTAGTTCAATGAACAAACAGTGTTATCGGTTCACCGACTAAAATAATGAATTTTTCACGTCATCCACGCTGTCTGACATAAAATATGTGAGTATTATATTTTAAAGTCACAAATACTAATCATCTTTGGCTTTACTGTTGTACCAATACGAATGTATTCTGCTGTTTGATTGTGGCCTTTCCGTTCTCAATGTCAATTGTTCCGTGCTTCTTTTTTTGTCAATACATTCTGTGAACACCGCGAAATTGGCTCTCCTTTTTTATTTCAACATACGATAGAAGTGCGTAAATATGAAATTTATTTATACTTTTTCATTTACAGTAGTTATTTAAAGTAGAAGGATTGCTAATTGTGCCGGATAGTGGTCTCCGACAGACAAACACATATACATTCGCATACATATGTAGATATACACACGCATACACGCGTACCTACATACACTTAAAATTTTTGGCAAATAATTGGAATTGTATGTAAAATGTGCGTTTGTGCGTAAACCGATCTATAAATTGAATCACGCTTATGTATGTATGTATTCTGTTATGTATGTAACCATGTTAATTGATTTGTTTTGAAAATATCCACTCATATACACATTTCGTACACTTATTCTCTTTCTATATTATATAAATTAGTGCAACATTCACAGTAAAGTGAACGCCGTCCACCGTCAATTGGCTCTCTCTTGCTTATTACGTCGACTGCCTCAACAAATTTTTGTTACACACTGCAAAGAAATACCCCTAACACACAGGCTTTCAATTGCAACATCTAGCAGGTCCCATAGGGGGCCGCCTCAATATCAGCTAAAGCAACCTCTTCAGCTCAGGTATGTTTGGGCAGATTTATAAGTTTCCCAATAGTTTCTATGAGAGCATAGTATAAATCTCACTAGACATTTGTATTAACTAGAGTTGCATTCATTTTACAGTCAGTTTTATAACATCAACCTTGCTGCGTGGACCCATCCAAACACAACCAACTCTTCTGAAGAACTCACAGCTGAAGCGTTTTCGGAAGAGGATCGTCAAAGGAACAATAAAGCGGCGGAGATGACATTACCAAGCGCCGCTCGCGTCTACACGGACGTCAACGCTCACAAGCCTGATGAATACTGGGATTATGAGAACTACGTTGTCGACTGGGGAAACCAGGATGATTATCAATTGGTCCGCAAGTTGGGGCGTGGAAAGTACTCCGAGGTGTTCGAGGCTATCAACATAACGACAACTGAGAAATGTGTTGTGAAAATATTGAAGCCAGTTAAAAAAAAGAAGATTAAGCGCGAAATCAAGATCTTGGAAAACTTGCGTGGGGGCACCAACATAATAACGCTCTTGGCCGTTGTCAAAGATCCAGTGTCCCGCACCCCAGCACTGATTTTCGAGCATGTGAACAATACAGACTTCAAACAGCTGTATCAAACATTAACAGACTATGAGATTCGCTATTATCTGTTTGAGTTACTTAAAGCACTCGATTATTGCCATAGCATGGGAATAATGCATCGCGATGTGAAGCCACATAATGTAATGATAGATCATGAAAATAGAAAGTTACGTCTCATTGATTGGGGACTTGCTGAATTCTATCATCCGGGTCAGGAGTATAATGTCAGAGTGGCTTCGCGCTACTTCAAAGGACCCGAACTTCTTGTCGATTATCAAATGTACGATTATTCACTGGACATGTGGTCGTTGGGATGTATGTTGGCGTCAATGATTTTTCGCAAGGAACCATTCTTCCATGGTCATGATAACTATGATCAACTTGTTAGAATTGCCAAGGTGCTGGGCACCGAAGAACTGTACGCGTATCTTGACAAGTACAACATCGATTTAGATCCGCGATTTCACGATATTTTACAACGTCATTCCCGCAAGCGTTGGGAACGTTTTGTTCATTCTGATAATCAACATCTGGTTTCACCAGAAGCATTGGACTTTCTCGATAAGCTATTGCGTTATGATCACGTGGATCGTCTTACAGCTCGCGAGGCTATGGCGCATCCATATTTTTTGCCAATTGTTAACGGGCAGGTGAATCCCAACAGCCAGCAATAGACATGGATTTATATTGTAAATTATACAAACTTATGTCGAAGCAGCACGGTAAAAGTTACAAGGACGGATACGAGCACTTTGAAAGAGAAAAATCGTTATGTGCTAAATATAAAAAGATTAATTAAGATCAAATTCAATAAAGAAAAATCGCATCGACTCAGTTCGGAAACATAACACCGATTTCACACAAAATAGAACAATAGAAATGTTATAATGAAAGGCAGATTATTCAAATTATAGTTTTTGAAATACGAACAGACAGTGATTAAAAATGTACTAATTTCCATATACAATCTAAATATTTCTGTTTACAAATTCATACATGCACATGCTTAAAAATTAACATCAAGCAACATTATAATTAACATATATTTATACCAATAATTATAAATATAATCCAATAAATCTCCATTTCTTACAAAATCGTTCAAGCTCTTAAAGTACGGACACTGACCTCTTGAGGCTCAGTAACGTTAATGGAGCTACCATCGCTCGGGCCGCTAGCTAACAATAATAAGCACCGGCATGGCGGTCTCCTTTGAACTGAAATAAATTAAGAACGGTATAGAATATTCAGAAATTCATAATCGCAGATAACGTCGGAGTCACACACACATAGATATTTTGTAAACCGAAATACTTTAGTTTTCATCAACCTAACTTTTATTTTTCCAAAAGCACCTTGAAGAGGGGCATTAAAAAGTAATCGTTCACAACTGTAGTATAAACACAACTATATTGAAAAATAAAATGTTAAAAATAAATGGAGATAAAATCTTAAGTGGCTACCACGAATCGTGCACGAACTCAACAGCAGACAACAGGACACAACAAATTCTTGGAAATATTATCTAAAATTGACTAATCAACAAGAATGAAAGCCTGTTCATTATGTTCGTCAACCAATAAAAAATAATTTTGCAACGACATTTCACATAAATTTTCGTAACTTTACTACTGATTTCGCCTTGAATAAAATAGAAAGAAAAAACAGATTTCCCTATCCCAGCACGAAAAGTTCCAAGGCTCACATTAATACAAAAATTGGAGTATTTTTACACATGTACACACCAAGCTTTTTTACCCACTATCCTAGCTAATTTTTCTCGACATTAACACTTATAATGTATGTATGCAAGGATATTTGTCTCCATAATTCTTGAAGATTATCAGATTGTGCTTCATTTTATACACTCTCAGTTTGAATACCAGACTTATGAACATTGATTAGTTTTTTGAGAATAGAATTTAACCTACATTTTTAAAGGATTATATAAAATCCACAAATTATATACAAGTCAAGTTGTGGTACTTCACTCGGCGGGACGTTCCTAGAAATTACCGTTGCGCACCCAAAGTACTGTTTCGATCTAATGCTGCATTTATGGTTGACTGTACTCCAAGAGCCTAACTCTCGAAAGTGTGTTCTTTAAATATGGCATACAAACAACTGTCGAGTTGAGTTATTCGAGCAATTTTAAAGATGACTGTGTTTATACTTAGATGAAACAATTGCATTAAAACTAAAATTTTGTGAGTACAAATGTAAGTATGCCTGCATGTATATAGTACATCAACACCAAAGTTGATATTCCGTTGTCACTCTAAAACTCCGTAATGTTGCAAACGAAAAAATCTGCGCACCATATGTTTGCATTATACAAGTGGAACTGCTACAGCTGGGAAAGGGCAGCAAATTAAACTGTGAATTTAGCAACAATTTTGTGGGAGCGCCAGCAAAGCAAGCCTGATCACAAATTTGTCGCTTTTTGAGAATAAGGTCTATATTGGAAATATCGTATGTTGATTGAGGTTTTAATGCAGAACGGTTAGAAAACGTCTGTCCTACATACTTGCAAAAAATAAGAACTCAGTTCCCTCATGTTTCGGAAAAAAATCAATTTCAATTTAAGCGTTTGTATGCTAGCATGTAATAACAAAATTACAAAAGGCTTCTGTAAAGTTACATACGATCATTTCGCGGTTATGCGACGATATTGTACTCTATCTATAGCTTGTCTTGTCTCGACATTTTATAGGAATATCAAAAAAATTAATATGCAAAAGCAAATTTATTTATTTTCCTTTTGATCTTAAGTTAAAAAAAACTGAATCATTAAGCTGAATTGCTTAAACAAAAGTTGTTCAACGTGAAAATTGATTGCAACACATTCACATTACCTTACATTAAAAATACAATACAAAAATAATATACTTTGTTTTGAAAAATTTATTATATTACTATTAGGAAGACAACAAATTAATTTTTGGAAAAGGCATGCTTTTCACTAAAATATAATTTACCATATAATTATGTTGATTTCAGTGACGAAGTCAGAGTTAAAGTGGCTCAGCCAATTGGCTAGTTATTCTAATAAATAATACAATTTTTTGTTATTGGGTGGCGCTGTCTTCCAATAGATTCATATTATTAAACCAAATTTGGTTTAATGGAATATAATATTGTGCTACATCAAATTAGTTCAGTAATGTAATATATTTAATACATTTTTAACTTGCTTGGATAAGCTTTTATTCAAATTGGAATGAGTACAACTAACAAAACATACATGAATATATATATATTTTTTTTTGTTATAGGTATTGTAAAACATTGAACAACATTAAAGAAATAAATTGTAATACGTGACTCCTTTAGCGTACCAAATCTTCGGGATTGAACATGCCCTGCAATTAGTAATGAAATCAAATGATTAAACAGGAAATATGCAGAAATTAAACGAAACTTACGCGTGCACGTCGTAGGATGGAGTCCTTGCTGGCATCGTAGGGATGATCTTTTGATGGGATTTCAAGAACAGCTGGTACTGGAGAAGTGTGCGCATCGATGACGTGACGAATAAGTTCGGCGTATGTTTGATTTATCAGGATGATATCAATGTCATCGCGCTTCAAAAAGCGTTTAAAGCAGTCTTCAATTTCGCTGACCGCAGTATCTATACAAAAAATGAAGGAAAACATTCCATATTAAACAAGGGTGATCAACTGAATTGCAAGAAATCGAATATAACATTAACTTTAGTTTCTCTTCATATAATTGAGTTGATATAAGTTTCTGTTTAAGTCTTACTGAAGTTGGTTATTCAAAACATCTCTTAAATTCAATTTAGTGCTTGAAGATAATAATTTAATTTGTTGGGCCGAGGGCATACTCTTATTTTCTATAACACTGATTTTCGTACAATGCAAATTATATGAAGCAGTTTGCCTCTATTATTATTATACATATGTTATAGTTGTTTATATTCAAACAACTTTCCCTGTATAATATAATATGTTATAATACTATAGCACGCAGCTTTGCCCCTCTAATTGGCACAAAAACAGGAAATGGGCAGAAAGTGATTTTATTGCAATACCCAAGGAGAGTATGATGATAGTAAATTGGTTAAGCTCCTTGGCACATAGCTTTGTCCCTTTGATCGGCACCAAGAAATAAATAAATCTAAATCTGATAAGTGATTTCATTTCAATACCAATAGAGAGCACATAAGTTTTAATACTCATTCATCAAATATATTGGTTGCATACAATGCATTTTGCCTCTATTAAAAACGACGGAAAAAATGTGTAATCTTGGGAATTATGGTGCTCTCGAGTTCGTATGCTGTAATTATATATACATATATAAATATAAATATGTATGTATATAAATGCCTGTCTCTATATGCATATTCGTTCAAACGAACTGGATATATATATCTACCTTAAATATAATCACAATCAGAATTTTAGCTCTGAAGTGTGGAAAATGTCATTTTGTACATACAACGCTTGCAAATACAATAGCAGTAAATCGTATTTAAAATGATTGAATAACTTACTTTTGTCGACTACCATGAAATTTGGATGGCGATTTTTGTTTATTTCCCCAACTCCTCCGAGAAGGAAACCGACGCAGGTATCCTAAAAGAAATATTTTGACGCGTTATTGAAATATTAAATACACGCGTACATTTTTACATATTCATGATAAGCAGTACGTGTAGGTAACTTAATAAATGTATTAACACTAGAAAATCACAATCGATTTTATCGCTATATTTTGCTTAGCTGCACATACAGACACTTTATTTTTGTTTTTTTATAGGATGTCATTAAACTGCTCACCTCATCACCGATGACAGATATTAATTTTCCTTTAATTGCTGAATGCAAGGCCATTTTACTTTTTTAAGTTAAATTTTACTGAAACAGCCTACAATTTTTACTTAAATAAAATGTCAGCTGACGAGAGTCACGAGACGATAACAATAATACACTAAAATTACCACATCAAATACGCGTATATGGTCGCCCAATGCAAAGCATGCAGCCCTAGTTTGCGTGGGCGAATATAATTAACGATACAAAAATGAATACATATTATTATTATATAAAATTATTTTAAGCATTTTTTGAATATACATGAATTTTAATAAAAATGTGATGCTAGTAATCTGGAATACTTCCATACGTGTGTGTACCTTAAAATAATATCCTTTCACAAACATCATTTAAACTACTATAATTGTGTACCTATTTAATTGATAATTGATTAAAATTAGTAAAAAGTGAACAAGTTATATTGAACTATTTTTCAAGAATTATAGTTATAAACTTCAAACACTAACCACTCTCTGGTTAGTGGTATTTCTTAAACCCATTTATCGAATGGTCGACTTCTATCAAATTAATCGATATTTGGTGTTCTGTTTCGATATTTGGTGTTCTGTTTCGCATCTCTAGTACGCACATGTTTTAAGAAATGTTTCGAGCCGGTGATATATTCAAAACAATTGTTCACGCAAAACAAGAGGATCGAAATGTCTACCTTAATATTGCTGATCAAAATCTTCATGGAGCCGTAAGTTCAAACACAATCGAAGAACATATAACTAATAAAAATTCTTTCTTAGAGCACTGAGTCGCAGGCACAATCAATCACTGCCCTTCTGTATAAAACGAATAGTCGATCCATCGGCTTACGATTCCTTATTAAATATCTAAATCAATGCCCAAGTCACATTTTGAAGGATAAGGGAAATGTCTGGTTAACTATTATAATTAGAACCTGTAATAGTAAGGAAATTGGGTTATATGGAGAACTAATCTATGAAGCTTTGGGTAAGTCATGAAACACATGATTATAAATAAGCCCATTTGTATTTCTCCAACTACTTCGATTAAATTTACCGGCTTTTTTTTTTATCGATAATAAGCTTTACGAATACTTTGATCATTCTCTGTGGACTTTTAAATTTAAATGTAACAAAAACGCAATCTCACTTTCCAATAATATAAAATAAAGAAAAAAAAATTTAATCATAAGCATTTAGGCACATTATGAAGGCTATTTATTCAAGATGTTGGAAATATTACTAAGTTTAAAAGTTATGGATAAACCGCGGAACGGATTACCACGACTTTATATTTACCTCTTGGGCTAATATAAACAATGCAAAATAGTTTTTTGAGATACATTTACAATGTTATTCTTATATACAAATATCCGTAATTTACGTGCTAGTAAAACACTCCAAAGTATATTTCTACTGTTTATCCTCTGCAAAAATGAAAAAGGGAAAACACGTATCTTCATTTTATTGCATTTAAAGCTAATTTTGAATAATTCAAATTATCTATGATAACTTATTTATATAATATAATTAAAGGGCCTTTGCAAGTCTAACATAACTTTTGGTTTATAAATGAAGTAATAAACTACGTTTGCTTACAGCATTACTTGTAATACAAATACAAGTAGTACCTGAAACTGCGAAATGGTTTGGGTCGAATGGCTTAGGAAAAGTTTATGAAAGCCTTTCGTTTCTGAATAATAAGACAACCATGTGCGTTACGATTGCATCACTAAAAGCCGTAAAGCAATGTTTAAAGTATTACCCCGGACCCAGTAAGTCAGGAAAGCTTGCAGTCTCGCGATATCTTCTAACAATAGTGGACAGCCGCGAACCCGAAATTGTCTATGAAAGCGGAAACTGTTGGTTACAATTGCAACAAGTACGTGGGAACTCGACCAACGCTAACCATAGCAACGATAAAGTTCAATGGCACGAATACCAACTCGGCTTGCTATGTAATCTTAACGAACTATTGAATGATGCGTTTCCAAAATATAAAGAAAATACCAAGGACTTTGAGAACCATAAATTGCAACATTTTCATTTGGAATTACAAGGAGATCCAATTGAAAGAGCAGCTCAAGTTTGCACACGATTCTGCAATCTCACCGAGTTCCTTAAAATTGCGTTAAGGTATATCTGAATAAAACGAACTACTTGTTTTTATTAGAGTTTACATTTTTTAACAGCCAACCGTATCCTTCAAAAAAACTGATTTGTATAAAGAGAATTTTGGATCTTATTCAACATGGCTTGGCAGTGAACTATGGAAATTGTGAAAGTATTGACAGTATGTGCTTTGAGAATCTTCTACCTCATATGCATACTAAACTATTGGAGCTTCTGGAAGTTTTAATCAACATGTAAGTTATTAATAATTAAAATAATAATTTGAGAAGAGAAGAGAGATTGGTTTCTCTTTTAGTTCATTATATAATTATACATATATTGTATTTAAATATATATACACTAACGGTTTTTGATGCGTAACCTAGGTGGTAAGAGAAAGAGTAAGAGCGAAGGTTAATGTGGACTCTAGAAAGTGTAAAAAATTTTGAGATTAGCACTTTTATAAAAATTATATTCTTTAATTATTACTAGGTACATATATCTTAAAAATAGTGTATAAATTTGTAATGTTCAAAGATTTTTTTTTCGATTTAGCAAGTCTAAAAACTGACCAATTTGTTTTTATCTTCAGCTGTCACACTCACCTCAGGCCGCATTTTCGATTGATGTCTAGCATTGTATTGGACTCGTTACAAAAAACAATGTGGTCAACGCCTGAAGGACTTTCGGTCCAGTTATTGTGAGTAAAACCTTTTTTTGATGATATATAATAATTTTTATTGCGTGCTGGATAAATCAAAATTTAAAATTTATTGTTGAATTAACAACTCTTTTTTAGTAATTTACGAATTCAGGCTTACAAAGCAGCAACATCATGGCTAACTACTTTTGCTGAGGGAAGCGGGTGCGACCTAATTGCTGAACGCCTTGTAAAAATTGTACTCGAAGATGTGATAATCCGTCGGAGAGACATATATTTGGTGGTAATTATAATGAAGTTTTCCATTGTCTTGTATTATAACTTCTTTGAATTTCAGTCTGCTACTCAATCAAAAAATAAATCTAAGAGGAAACATACTGCAATGTCAGAAGCATCGGAATCACCGTTTCAAAGAGAACTCTTAATTAATAAAAATAAGGAACTTCTTTGTAAGCAAGCATTAAAATGTCTGCAAAAGATTTTGAATTCCGTTGGTTTACTCTTGAAACCACAACTTTTAAGGGTAAGCGTAGCATTACACAATGATAGTATACAATAGTACACGTGACTAGCCAACTAGGAAATCCCCAGAACAGAATTTTTAACCATACTTCATGACTTGTATTTATACAATATTGCTATTGCTCTCAAGTATCGAACGTATACGGCTAGATCAGCTCAACACCTTAATGAGGTCTGCAAAACCTTCTTCCATTTTCAATTTTTCGATAACAAACAAGCATTAGCATATGTAATTTTGATAGATTTTCTAATATAATCGAACTTATAATATCGACCATTTTATTAATTTTTTAATTATTTGACAATTCATCATTCAGTATTTTATGAATATTTATAAAAAAAAATAGTAATTTAATTAAATTATTTTGACATTATTTACAGAATATATTGAGCACAATATTGGAAAACAGTACTCAGATATATGAGAAGCGTGCGTGGAAGGAATCCGTTTACAACGAGTGGACCTGTCGCCTTGAGCTGTACAAAACTTTATTTACATTTATAAAATTGAGAAATATACCTTGCCCTCCTCCGTCGGAGACTCTTTTGTACATACTTGAAGAATCTAGCAAAAAAGACCCAAACTCTGACATACGAATTCGTTGTAAAAATATGATCGCTTCAGTTGAAAAAATATTACATCCTCAAAGGGAGAGTTTAATTTTTAAGAAAGACGATCAACAGAGAACATCGACATTACAATTGAATGGAAATACAAATTATGAAAGCGCATCTGACATCCAAGAATTTACTAATAATAATGAAAACACGCAACTAACGGAGGCTGTGCGTTCCACTACCATTCTTCCCACAGACAATTTAAGTAAAGAAATGCCAAGTGCCCCTGTATCAAAAAGAATTCGTACGTCCTCGGAAAGTAAAGATATTACAAAAAATAAAAAAGTTGTTAAAGAAGAGGTCTTGGGAAGTCCAGCAAGTAATAATCGTGTAATTCTGCCAAAAGCTGATGTAAAAGATCTTCATGAAAAGAATGTGGAGGCTCCACGAATCAATAGTCCTCTACTCACCCAAAATATCTGTTCAAAGGAGTCTACAAAAGAATCGAGCGATACTAAGCATAGCACACCGGAAAGTGTTTCTACTGAATCAAAACCTAGTAACAGTGAGGACGATGATTACATTGCTGAGTTGCAGGCTGCTTTTGTCGATGAGTTGAAGTAAAAGAAGTTAATTTTTATATAAATATCATTTTATATTGAAACAAAATATATATAGTGAAAAAAAAACTGAAAAAAAATACTTAACGACAATTATTTATTAAGCATAATGGTTTTAGCTTCTAAAGGATGTAAGTACATCAGAAGGAGGTAAGTAATTTAATTTTATTTTATATAGGTTCGAGCTTTCAATGACGATAGGATTTAAAATGGTTTGGAATTATTTAAAGCTAGAAAATAAATGCAAAAAAAATCAGCACTCGCAATCTCATTTGCAAAACTGAACGTACAAAAAACTAGGTCACTTTGTTGTATCCAGCCGTTTATGTATACCACATTAATAAGTTTCAGACTGGAATCTTAAGCTGAAAAACCAAGAACTGAATGTCGTTTTCAAAAGGATATTTGATACTATAGACTTGTAGCCATATATGCTGTGAAATTAGCGTTCTCTAATCCTCCAATTTCTCTAGTTGGTGTGGTATATTAACAAATTATGAAGATATATACCTGCGAAACATAAATGAAATATAGCCATATTTTGTGTATACTTATATTTTGGTTTATGCTTTTTCCATGATACCATCTTGTTACCTATAGCAAGAGGAATGTTCTATAAATCTAGAAATGGATAGATTAGAAATATTGAAAATTACATGTTGTACTCGAGTAGAAGTTTAATGATTATTGCTGATAAACGGAATGAACGCTTAATATAAAAGTAATAGGGTTCCAGTACATTTTATTAGTATACTAATTAAATACTTAAAAGCATAAATAATTACACGTTTTCAGTCTTTGGAAGAACTCTTATTGTAGTATCTACGCATGGAATATTTGTTAAGAGTACTTAGAGATTCAATATGTAGGCAATATATAATACATATAAGAAACCATTTTTCTTTAATCATTGAGACTTCAATTTTCAGGACACTTCGAATATATATACGTATATGGATAAAGTATAAATATTGATATTACTTGTTTATATATAGTATTAGTTGCCTAAAGACGTGATGTCGCTATGTGTATCGACTAATGATATATTTATGAGAATTGCTTGAATGTTTAATAAATTATTGTTTTATTGTTATTGTTAAAAGAAATATTCAATATATTCAATTATAATGTTTGATTATATTGAGTTTCTAATATCTATCTACATAGGCTACGCAATTGGAATCTAATATTTAATATAATTTAGTGATACAACCATTTCAACCATTATTATAATCATTAGTTTGAAAATTATGCTCTTGGGGTCAGTACTAATGGAAAGCAAGCAGCAGGGAGTGCTACACTCGCTGGCTTTATCTTTATCGTCTCAAGATTACTACAATTGATATTATAGTTTTGTAAAATATTGGCCAGCAAAATGAATCCGAATCCGCGCACCAAATTTTGTCCTATGCACGTGCGTTTGCCAATGCTAAAAGGCAAAAAGTGTGGAATATTTTTCTTAAGTTGCAACTTGTTAGGTTCAGAATCCACTTTAGTAGTATCTTGTTGAATAAGTTTATTTGTAGATGTATTTTCAACGGATGAATTGTATATTTTCGCCTCCTTTTCAAACTCAATACCTGAATCGGATTCTTCGGAGCACCTTCGCTTTCCGTGAAATATAGGCGGAGCTGACGGTGTGTTCGTTCTCTCTTCCAAAAACCTTTCGGGTTGGAATTGATCGGGATCCTTCCAGTACTTCGGGCTCGTGTTAAGTATGTAGTTATTAATGAAAACAATGGTGCCTGTAGTAACGCCAAAATCTGATATTTGCGTATCCTCGGTGGCTACATGGGGTACGATCGGAGACGATGAGTACCGTAGGACTTCGAATATTGTGGCCATGGTATAGGGCATTTTATCCATATCGTGCAAGTTAATACTTCTTTGGCTGTTTTTGGACACGTAATCGACTTCGCATTGAATTCTCTTGGCAATCTCTGGATCCTTGGCAATGTAGGCAAGAGATAGCATGACTAAGTTTCCGACCGCTGAGTGACCTCCAATAAAATCTTCTAGCATGAAGATAATCGTATTGCGTGACACGTTCTTATTTTCGATGAGACTCTTTAGGAGTGCATCTGTAAAGTCGACATCGGGCTCATCTAAATCGATATTGATTTCTCTTCGATTTATAACTCGTTCCAAAATGAATTTCCGAATTGTCGCGGACCAGTGGCATATCTTTTGCGTGTGCTTGCTGTAAAATGGCAAGAGCCATGGCAAGAAATCTAAAGGATGTCCCTGGTTTATTTCCCAAAAGATTTCATCAAAGAACTGCACGACTTGTTCGAATTCCTTGTCCTCATAATCAAAGCGCATAGAGCACATGTATTGACTAAACATATTAGCGCATGCCTTAAGTATAACCAGCTTTAAATCAAAGGGTTTACCAGGCTCTATAGATGCTTTTAAGTTATCCAGTAAGTTTGTTATTTCATTGCAACCGATTCGGGACATTTTTGCGAAGTACGATGATGACGATCGCGGCGAGCAGTGTCGTCGGGCTAAGTTCCTGCGTTTCTGTTGCAACTGTGACCAGTCGCAAAGAGCAAGAGCTGCAAGGAAATACAAATATTATTCATTTTGAGAAACAATGTTTTTAATGGAGAAAAGAAAACATAAAATCCTCAAACGATTGCTAAGAATGTCATTTTCAATAATAAAATTTTGTATAGAGGACCACAATTTATTCATAGCAGAACGGACAGTAATACAAAAGTCTTAAATGCTTAAAGAAGAAAAATGGTATCTGTTGAAATAGAGTATATAATGGTGAGCTAAGTCAATCTAAGCTGAGTATCTCCATCTGTATGACGTTAAAAATGAAATATCACACTATATATAATTGTACACCAAGCAAAGTACAGATTTATCAAAGTAGCTCACCCCTTAAAGCGATCGAATTTATCATTTAGTATTAGCACTACATGGCTCAGAGTATATTCTAGTCGGGCAGTCTAATTTATTTTGATTCCATGTTAGAGGAAGACACACAGACATCTAGGCATTTGTACCCTGATGATCTACTTCTAAACGGCTACTATACATCCTCAAATGTATGAGACGTCGTAAGTAATCTATTTATTTATAACAAGCTTTTCTCTTACCAAGATCGAGTATACTAGTTTTTATTTTCGATTACAACAATGTTAGCATTCATATATTCTTTTAAAAGCCATAAATTGAAACGAGTAATTTATGTTTTATATAAAAAATATTATATGCAATACCCTCTTCTTTTTAAACAACAAAATTATTTCTTTTTTTGTGAAATTCTATGTAGCAGAAGAATTAGGTCTCAGATACAAAAATCTTGAACAAATTCTAGTAAAAAGTATTGGAAATGTGAAATCTTTTAGGAGCATTAACTTCGATTGTTGCAAATCAATAACAATATTTATAATACATATAAATTACAATATAAATTTATTAAATTACATTATATCGTATATTTTACACGCATAGAAATTGGGCTTTTCATAATTGAGATGCAATTATCTTATCAAATTCCGTCCATAAAGATCAAACAGATCCTAGAATTGACATTTATTTGAAAATATCTTTTAAGTTGTTTAATGAACTTTGTTTTATCGTTTTCGCACTTTTTAAAAATATTTGTATTATATTTTATTTTATTATTATTTTTTTATTTTGTTTTTATTTTTATTTATTTATTTATTTTTTTTTTTTTTCAGAATATTTTCAAATTTCAAAGGTTTTTAAATGCATACATAAATTTACTACACTCTTTACAAGGATATAATGGCTTAAGAAATACTCACAGTTATTGCGATCACCTCCGAAAAGTTTGTGGTAACGCAGAAATTCTGGTCTGCCACCAAAGAACTTTCCGTTCTTGTTGAGGACCTCTTTTATTAACTCCAAGTTATTGACGACAAGGCAACGAGTGTGTCCTAGTGTTAAACTATAAATATCGCCATAGCTCTTTGTCAATGCTCCAAAGCCTTGGAACGGATTGTTAAACTGTCCAATTATATCTAAATTTCCGATTATCGGCCAAGGACGTGGACCAGGTGCTTGCTGAAGTTTACGTTTGGCTTTTATTGAATTCTCGTTCTCGATTCTGAGATTAGCTCTTTTCTGACAGCTAAAAATTATTATAGCATAGGATGTGACTATTGCTACCAGAAATATTCCAGTTATGACATAAAACATTAGGAAAAACATTTTTACTTCTAATACGACGTCTTTGGTTTATTTTCAATAACAATTGATTTTTAGTAGTAATTAAATAATTCGTATTTTATTTTAAACTAAACTGAAAACGCTCCACGAGTTTCTAGTTATTTTTCTTTTTTCTTATATATTTAGCACCAGCAACGACGAGCAATGTTCTTGCCTCGCGATCGAAGAATATTTGCTTTTCAAAGCACTTTCTTTCTTACGTTTTATTCAAGTGCCGAGAAGTCAGAATGCCCGCAAGTACATTCATAAATATGTATGTCCTATTGTAAATATGTACATACGCTCAAACCTACGTACGTATCTAAAGGTGTCTCTCTCTATGCATGTGTGTGTATATTTCCATACAACGGTAAGCTATCTGCTGATACAAAGCTTTTATGTGCATATCTGATAGCTTCGAGGTGCTCGAATCATAATCAGAATTGCATGAAAGTTAGCTAGTAACCCTTATATTGCAACTGTTCGTTTAACAAATGTATAAACACATACTCACACCCACATGCATACATACATATATGCCCAGCCTTATGAGAACATGTATCTATATACAAATGTATACATACATATATGTATATATATACATTATATATATATATATATATATATATATATATATATATATATATATATATATATATGTAT